GGAAGGGGGGGAATGATGGAGGAGATCGAAAAGAAGAAATGGTGAGCAGATTTGTTAGGTTGATGGAGGAGAAGAAGTGGGTTTATGAGTTGAAGGAGGAGCAGTTAATGGGACATTGGTGGGAGGTGTCGGGGACTGCGACGCAGGGAAGTGTGGGATTGTCGCAGTGGGTTAAGGTAGAGAAGGATATGGGGAAGAGGAAGAGGGAAAACCCTGTTTTGATGGATATCGAGGGGGACGAAGATGGAGACAAGGAAAACGAGCGAATGGGCGTGATACCCACCAAGAGAGAACTGATGGGTATGAAGAGCGGCAAAGGCAAACACCAGCCTAAGAAGATTAAAGGAGGTTTAGCGACGAATAATGGAAATATACGGCAAGGAAGCGTTTTGATGGATTTGGTTAATGATATGTCATAATTCATTAGAATTGGGAACAGAAATTTGTAGGATTATCATGATCAGGGGTTTTAGGATGGGAATGCTCTTACGGCTCATGTTTTTGTCTTGAGCATAGCGTTGAGGTGGGAAACAAGCTTTAGTATATCTTTTGTATGGATCGGGATGCTGGTGTTTGGGTATATTCATAGGGTAGAAGAGAAAACGGACTTGGTTTTCTTCATAGCATGTATGAGATGCGTTTGCATTGTTTGGTCGATATGCTACGATGCTTTTCTTCATTCGCATGTAGCATTGAAGGGAAAGATAATTTGAAATGGTTAATGTGGAAATCATGTGTGAATATTAGGAATCAATTAAACTGCAAGATTGCGAGGCGTGAGTAATATGCGATGTTTCCTTTCGCTGCTTGTTACTTTCTATGAACGTATGTAGGCATTGGGTGTTTAAATGTGATATGTGGAGTGCAAGAAAAATGAGATTGAAATGAGTCGAGAAGAAAGAATTTTGAGCATACAGTGCTAGTCTTGAGTTGGTGTCGGTGTTAGTGTTTAGTGACCGGAAGGTTTGCAGATGCCAAGTTGTACTTGGATGTTTGATGTCTGATATCTAATGTGTATCGTATCTATTCCGTCTCGAATTTCTGGATCACTTTTAGTAGTAGGTAGATATTTGATAGTAGATTGAGTATTTAGATTTGCTTCACAGAGGTAGTAACAATCTGGCCGATCGAGTGAGGGTTTGTTAGGCGTCTAAATTTATCTTGGATAACTAGAGGAAAAATGTTTCAAATCTCTCTTCTTGCTTTGCTTTCACAAACGAATCTTACTTTTGTAGATTAGATGGTGCCAATTGCAAGCAATCCAACATCGTGGTGCAAGGAGCGACTGGCTGGGAATCATGGATATTATAAAGTAATCATCTATTTATTTATTCCATATGAATGAATAATATTGCAGCATACCAATCTTGTGCAATTCTATCGCCATAAGAGGAATTTAATTTTACATACATTATTGCGATATCTCCATGAGGTTCTACAAGTAAGTATCTTCAAAAGTAAGGAAGTAGACCACGCAAAAATAAGATTGCATGCCCTACCATTCATGTCTTAATATATAAGCGAACCCCTTTTTCTTTCTCGTTCTCTTTCTCTTTCTCTTTTAACGCCTTTGAGTAATGGATATCCATATCCATATCCACATCCATACCACTACCCAACAAGAATCGAAAAAGAACAAGAAAAAAATATGAGGAATCGCTACCCATCCCATCCAATCCAATCCAATCCTCAATCTTCACTTCCGCACACTATTACATACCAGTATATATTCTCTAAAATTGTTCTCACAACTGATTAATTATCTATCAGATCAGATCAAATCAGAGGTGATCAGAGATGAACGAACCAAACAATCGATTAATCAAAACCATAAATTCCGATTGATGTATGTACCTAGGTATCAACATCAAACCGTCTTCGAATAAATTTGTGAGTAGTCGAAAGGTTGAGCGAGAAAGTATTATATCATATTACATCATTTCATATCCCCCATCTCCTCCTCCCTCTCCCCCTCCCTCTCCCCCTCCCTCTCCCCTTCCCTCTCCCCCTCCCTCTCCATACATATCTAGACACCTTCTCACTATCACGATAAAACAAAATACCATCAAAAACTAATCTAATCTTATCTAATCCCACTCATCCTATACTCAATATATACGAGTACAGTATAAACATATATAACACTCATTTCAACAGCAATACCAAGTTCTACTTCTACTTCTACTTCTTATTTATGACTTAAAGTATCAATATCAATATCATCCTCACCCTTCCTCCTCACCCTTCCTCCTCACCCTTCTTCCCCACCCTTCTTTCCACCCTCCTCCATCAGACATATCATTTCTGGAATGAGCTAAAAAGGAAAAAGTAATAAATAATTAACATCAATATCACCCTCACCATCACTCCAAAAACAAACCTAGTCTCTGAATTCATTTATAATTATTTATAATATAATTATCGTCGCAGCTTTCCTAGAAGTCTCGAGTCCCAATCCAACTATTTATTTCATTCCGCATGACACTTTTCAATTCAATTCATTTCATATGATATTTATCATATCCATCATATTCATCATATTTATCATATCCATCATATCCATCATATCCATCATATCCATCATATCCATCATATCCATCATATCCATCATATCCATCATATCCCCTCCAGCAACCAAAACCCAAATTCTCTAATGAGATAAGAGGGTGGGTAGGTAGTAAGTAACAACGACTTTTGCGCAGAAGATGGTTCTCATTTTGAAAGGTTCCGAATTTTCTGTATCGAGATAAATGGATAGATGAAGGTGAATGATCATCAACTCATTGCACTGCCAGAAGTCTAATCAATCGAAAAGACGGACAGCCAAGACAACAGACCTTCAGACAACAGACCTTCAGAAAACTAGACCATCAGACAAGCAGACCTCCAAAAACCAAAGTATCCAAGTCAAACAATGGAAATCCACAAAAACCACACAAGAGATACATATAAAGCTCAAACTACACCCAGCAGATAGAAAATAATATAATTTTACTCGACATAACATCCAAATCTCTCAAGCCTCCCACCCTATACACTCTCCGCCTAATACACAACCGCACTAACCACCTTCCCCCTACACTCACCAAAGCCCACCTTCCCTCCCTCTTCCACCCCACAAGTACCCCTCAAAGTAATCTCGTCACCATCCTTCAAAAACTTCCTCGTCTCCATTCCCACCAACCAAATATCCTTACTCCCACCCCACGTCATCTCCAACAAACTCCCCATTTCCTGATCGCCCTCGCCAGTAATCGTTCCACTACCCAAAAGATCACCTGTTCTCATATTACATCCTCCACTACTATGATGCGCAAGCATTTGTTCAAAACTCCATATCAAATTCTTCGCATTCACTTTCCCAATCGTAGTTGTACTTCCATCTGGAGTCGTGAGGTCAATCTCTAAATTAATATCTAGACCCGTATTATTACTCTCTTCTTTTAGATAATCCAATAATTCTCCCGATTTCGAGGCCTCCGTCTCCAATTTAGCGGTTCGGAAGGGCGCAATAGCGTCTTGGAGAACAACCCACGGACTAATACTTGTAGAGAAATTCTTCCCATTAAAAGGACCCAACGGGACATATTCCCAGTTCTGAATATCTCTTGCAGACCAATCATTCATGAGGACATATCCAAAGATATTTTCTCCGGCCTTGTTGACCTTGATAGGTTCTCCGAGTTCATTTCCGGTGCATAAGAAACATCCTAGCTCAAGTTCAATATCGAGTCTTCTAGAGGGTCCAAATATAGGTTTCTTAGGGCCAGGAGCCTTTGGATCCAGAATTATTTGACCATTGGGACGTGTAATTTGCGTTCCGGAGACGACGACCGAGGAAGCCCGACCATGGTATCCAATTGGAACATGTGTGTAATTTGGTTGTAGTGCATTTTCCGCTCCCTGGACATATCTATTAGAAACCCGCATCAAAACCACTCAAATACACCATGGGTGAACTCACTCTAAACATAGTCCCCGCATTCCTAGCATGATTGATACCCGCAAAAAAATCCGTGTAATCCCCAATCCTCATCGGCAGATGATTCTTCCAATCTCCCTTCTTTAGCAAACACTCTTTTTGTACTTCTTCATTATCCTTCAATAATTCCGGATATGGGGTATCCTCCTTAAAAACCTCTTGTATATATCTTCTAACTTCTCGATGAACAGGTTGACCTAATGCTGCGAATGCATTGAGGGTTGGTTCTTCGAAAACAGAGAGATGTTCTTTAAATGAAGGAAGTTTCTGGAATCCGGACGATTTAGAAAAGGCGAGGAGATCTAAGACATGGTCGCCGATACGAATAGCTTGACGGTGAGTGACCTGCGAGTTCCGAGAGGTGATAATACCAAAGGGAATATTGAGGATGGAGAAATCGCTGTTGGGTGGAATTCGAAGCCAAGACTTGAGAGGAGACATGCTGACAATAGCTAGCGAGGAATCTGTATACTAAAGAACTTGATGTGAGGTTAGAGTTGAGATTTGTCGATGAACGTAGAGAAGAAGGGAAGGGACAATAACTGTAAGTAGAAATTCAATTACAATTCACAAGTTCTTCAATCCGAATTCAATAAACATCAACCGAAGCCGATAATTCTCCAAGCCGACGTCAAGCTCAAGCTATCTCAAATGGAGGGGTAGTGAGTGCAAAGCTTCCACATTGTGGGGTCATCCATACATATTCTTTGCGGAATGAACATTTTGTGGAGCTGAAATTCGTCGCTCTGCCGCACGGTATTAATTCCGTCCTGAACCTCTCCATAAAAATTGTAGCATTTCCGCTGTCAGACATGAATGCTGGTCAAAGATCGTGGCAGCGATGTATCAGATATGATTCAATTTGAATCATATGGTGTAATATGCAATTTTAGATTCAGTAATACGTCAATCCATCGAGACTGATCCACCTGTCAGTGGGCTTTTGACATCTTGATCTCGGACAACGATTTGAGGTCAATTGCTTGCACAGTGCTTGCCCTCCTACTTATAATCTAGAATAGAATATTGTGCTTGATTAATGGCGTAAAGATGATATGTAAACTATCAGCGGGGCTGCGGTTTTCCAGCCCTATGTTCAAACCATTTAAGATCAACAACCTCCGCAATATTTTGTCGCTTCAAATATACACAGTAATACAGGCTCCTTATAATACAAACACCACTGTGAGCTTGATCACCCCTAAAACAAATCCCTCATCTGCCTAAACAATTCATCACCTTCTCCAAAAGCCGGACCAACACCACCCACGTCGTCTCCCACGCCCGGTGTCCCATCCATCCCATTTCCAACTCCATATCCATTGTGCCCATTTCCCATTCCCAACGCCGCCTCAAATAGATGAGTCATCTCATAACTCATTTGATTTCCTGTCATCGGACTACTTCCTAATCCCGTACCTATTCCTTGTCCATGTCCATGTCCATTTGCATCGTATCCTCCTCCCATCCCCGTAATTTCATGACCTGCCAATCCAGCCATTGCAAGTGCCGCACTACTATGTGCATCATCCGCTCCCAATGCACCGTTATGATGATTATTTGAAGTGGGGGATAGCCCAAGTTTTGGTGCTACTTGTTTTAGACTTTTGATTGTTTTCCAAAGACGTTTCGATACAAAAGATTTATTCGAGAAACCCTTCACTAAATCGAGCGCCATATAGAATTCATCGCGACAAATCGAGCTGAAAGTAACTGGAGCATGACAACTTGCTAGAAAAATGACAGCCAATGCTGAAATGAGGAAATAATTGAAGCAAACTTGTTGTACGCGGTAAATGTCCGTGGTTTGATTGAGATGTGTGAGGACGCGAATTGTATCTTTTGCGAATTCGACAACGGTAGACGCATGTTGAATATGCTCTTGAATAGAGGATGCGGAGTGTAAGACAGGGCGATAAATCAGGATACGCATTTGATTGGCACGAAGGTAGAGAAGTATTTGTAGTCGATGGATTGCGCGAGAGGAGGCTTGAGGGGCAGCAGCAGTTGGAAGTTGTAAATGAGGTGGTATCGCTTTTTGCCATTGTGTGATCTGGTAGTCTAGATAACTCAACTCCTCGGTGATTACATTCGTTGAGGGTGTTGGGGAGAAAGAGCAGATTGATTTCCAAACTTTAGAACCTATTCTTGAATATGATATCATAACGTGTAGATAAGGGACCGAATTATCCTAAAAGAATTAGCTGAGTCATCAGGTAGATGAGAAAATTACATACAGGTTCTGGTAGAGAGGGATCAATATCTGAATCTTGTATAGCAAAAGGCATGCCTGTACCAAAACTCCATCTTCGATCAAGTACATAGATTGACCAGAAAAGTTTGGTAACAGCGACCCGTTCTCGTTCATCAGTCACAACCTTGAAAAAAGAATCACGTCTATGCAGACCTAACTCAATTGACATTCGTACGACTTGACCAATTATGCGCCAGGCTAATGCTTCTTCGTCACAATGGAAATGAAATATTGCCTAAGGATTATGTTAGTTTGTTGCTAAACAGTATATTGGTCTCTCAGTTTGCAGGAAAAAAGAACAGGGAACGAATTAGATTTTCAAGGCGGAACAGGACTTTGAATCCTTTGCGAAAGATTGATGATGGAGCTGTTTGAAACCCAGCAGTAGAACAAGGTGTAAACTTTGACGCAGAAAATAAAAAGAACAATCGCGACATCGGTAGTTGATTTGAGAGAGCTGAGGGACAAAACGTCGAACCACGGCTCTGACGCATAATATGTACACCAATCAGAGGGCCCACAAGTAGAGAAGGTACGAAACAAGATTATTCTGAACAAGTCATCTCAGTCAACAAAAATAAAAGGGCCTTTGGTGTAATTGGTTAACGCGCTGTGTTCCTTCCAGGTGAAAGTGTTCATTCCAGAGAAGCGGGTTCGAATCCTGCGAGGTCCAAATCTCTTTTTTCATTTTTGAATTTCTTTTGCTCTCTTCCTGGCTCACGTTGCAAAGCCCATCTTTTATTTACGTTGATCTTCAATTTTCATTCTGGGGACAGAGGAATAGATAGCACCACCTTTAATGAGACGAGGTTTTTGTGGTTCTTCGCTTATCATCTATAATGAAGTACCACAAATGTGATGGAATCTATAAGGATGGGAACTCATAACAGAGTAGCATACTCTAGATTCCATGACAGTCGGCACTACGCGACTACGGTCTGCATAGTATATACCCAGTGGTAGATTGAATAAAATAGAGCTTGTGATTTAACGCTGGAGTCGCAAAGTTCTGACTGGAGGTAGCATTATGTGAGCCGATTCCTTCCGAGTAGCAAGCATTATTCCGACTTTGATTTCCTTGCCCAGAAGCAGGTATCGATTGGGGAGATTTTTCGACTTCCAACTAAACCAAACACAGCAATATATTATTGTTGTGGCCCTTGAGACCCTTAATACTAATAATTATGGGTTGCGTGTCTTTAAAGCCAATGAAAAATGCAACAATTGGTCCAATCCAAAAATAAATGATATAGGCCTTGCAAGTGAATAATAAAATACGATATTCCCGGCGTTCATGTGAGATGTAGAGATAGGTTTGGTCCCTTACAAATTCAATCGTCGTCTTGAGATTTTTACCTGAGCCAACGTGTCAAGGCTCTCCAGTTTCTTCCATCCTTCATGAACTCCTACACTCAGCAATGGGTAGGTTTTTTGTGCTTCAACTATCATATGATCGATCTGCAATCTGATTTCTCATATGATAATCACAACAGTGCAACAATAAATCATACAGGCCTTGTAGTTTAATGGTAAAACCTGCCACGTTCTTAAATGAGCGGAAGCAAGAAGGTTGTTCGATTCCTCCCAACGCCAAATTTTTTTAATTTTTTTTGACATTTTCCTCATTGTGGTGGCCTTCCTATCAGAAATCCTTTTACAGCTTTGTACCTCTTTTGTGTCATACAAAGTTGAAGGTGTCCATGATACCAACCACATGTGCTCGGCATCCCACATTAGTCCCACTTGGCCAAATGTAGCATTATAAGTTGCATTTATTTTCACCTGCTCAAATGGCAATAGTAACTCATAACTCTCGAACGACCACCACCAACCTTGGAGAAACAAAAGAAACTTCTCTCAGATCCTGACTCACTAGAGTTTGTGATTCCCTTCATCCTCCACAACAATCAAGCAAACATAACATACAAAAATAAATAAGGGGTAAAAAACAAAACTCCGCAACTCACCACAAGTACCAAGAATGGCAAGCTTTTGACCTCCACAAATTCATCATGCAATGCGCGATCCGCAGGTTCTCTAACACTTTCAAATAATCTGAAGGCCAAGTCACTTTGCCCACTTCCCTCTGTGATCATTGAAATAGCCATGATAGTCTTCAATATGCAAGAGTTGATATCATTGATGCCTTGAGGATTATTGGATGTGGCAAGGCCATTCCTCACCGCGGCATCAATGAATTCAAAAAGGTTGGAACCATGAGCGATTAATTCCTCTATATCCACAACGGGATACATCAGACCCATTTCTTCTTCATATACCCTACACAGTCGAATCATTTCTTCTCGATTTACACTTCTCAATGGATCGGGAGCTCGAACACCATTCATATTGATGGATGGTAATGCCCTTGGCCGTAGTGGAGGTGGTGATGGTACCGGAGTAGGATCGTGAGTAGCGATGCCTTCATCTGCCAATGATTGATAACCCATATTATGAAGTGTGTTTTTAGCCACGTCTAGACCAAAAGCAGAACTGGTCGGTCCCCGAAATGAGGGATGCCTGGGTATAGGTTTATGATGAAAACTCAAGGGAGAAAGTCCTTGTACTGCGGATTGTTGTGATATTGACAATGATCTTTCTGATGATGCGCCATAGGATATGCTACCATCACCACCTCCACTGCCACCGTGGCGCATAGCATTTAAAGTCGAATATAGATTATCCACTTGTTCTTGTAATAAGGAAAGTTGTGAATTCATTCGACGAAACTCCTCCGATTCCTTGAAGCCATTGGTACAGCAATTCGGAGCATATTGACATTCGAGGTTGAGGTTTCCGCATCTCTGACATGGTGTATTTCCATTACATTTGATTTTCCTTCGTTTGCATTCATTACTGTATCAATATATGTATTAGTATCAGTCGAAAGAAATTCCGTCCTCAAATTATCCAATGTGTAATATTGTCTGCAGGTAGAGTCGGGTGTCTGACCCCCATTCGGACCTCCTCGGGCGCATTTCCATCAAATCAACCAAGAAGCAATTGAACATCAACCAGGATGCAAAGCAACCACATCAAGACATACCCATGCACACAAAGATAAATCAAGAAGAGAAAGAAAGATTAACTTACCAAGCGATAGATATATATCTATTTCTCTTTGCCCTTGTATGTGGAGTGCCTTCCTTATTTCCATTCAACGTTGCGTCGCCTCCTTCACCCGAATCATTTTTTCTCTTCTTTCCGCTCTGAGCCCCAGTATCCGCGGGTGATTCCGAAGACTGTAGTTGCTGTTGCTGTAGTTGACCATTCATGTTATCAAAGACCGGGATGGCAATGGGAGACTCTGCGATATAATTTAGATCATTAACTTGTGATTCAAGTATGTTCATTATCACATTGAAAATTAGAAGGACGAATATATGTCTTTGCGCATTTGGCCGGAGATGTTGGAAGTAGTTTCTATTAAGATTTTAGTTGAGTCGACGAGGGTTTTTTTTTTTAAAAAAGGTTATTTAACTCGGACTGGTTCGAAAATGGCAATCCAGTCCAGTCGATAATCACTTTCTAACAAATGAGAGTTGACGGATTTTCCCTTGACCAGATTTTTTATCGTATGCGGGGAAATTTAGTGCACAGTGCACAATGTAGAGAGAGGTGAGAAATGATAAACCAACAAGACAAGGCAGACAAGGATAATTGGTATGAGGCCGCTTGTAAGAGTAAGAGCCGATTCTATCAAGGGAAGGGAGGGAAAGGAAAGAAAGGGAAGGGAATGATGGAATATGATTATTTATCTTTACACGTGATGTTGAAAGATGGTAATGATTGGAGAATTGAGTTTCAAGGCAGCTGCTTTACATATACCATGATCCAATTATGAGACAATCTCAAATGCTATACATCAAGGTACATATCATCTACATGCGTCTATATGTCTATATACATCTATATACATCTATATAATATATCTACATTGAGCGTTACACATACCTCACATCAAATGATCTCAACATCAACAGCAACATCAGCTTCCTCTTCCTCTTCCTCTTCCTCTTCCCACAAATTCCCTTTCTCGAGCCAAAGAGGTTAACCAAGGTGACTAGATACGATAGTACAAGAACACAAGACCACGGCAGCTACCAATTCCTAGAACAAAGACAAAAGAGAGGATTACCAAGCTACTACCAGTAGAACTATTGACAAAAGATCCGGAGAACTCCTCCTGACTATACGTTCTCAATACCTAGGTACTTTGTAGACCTACACTAACGGGACTTCATTTACCGGCACTCCATCTATCCGTAACTCATCTACCGAGTCCTCAGATCCAATACGTGACACGTGACTGTTGATCGATTCCCTCGAATGATCAATCACCCAACATTCATCTTTCCTCGGAAAATACCTATCCATCATTGTGATCACGATGTTATCTGAAGCGGTGAACATTGCGAGTTTGAGTGGGCTCGTGGGCTGGGCTGGGCTGGACTGGGCTCAGAATGTGGGTACTTATTATCGCCAGGTAGGTACTTACAGCGAGCTACGAGTACTTCGTTCAGGTAATTGTTGATTTTTCAGCTTCCCGAATGTCCTTTGCAAATCCATCACCAAGATGTAATTGTTGAACAGTACGATATCACCAGTAGGTGCACAGACTCACAGGACAACATAACAGGAAAGCACAATTTCACACTCAAATTTATCAACTTCAAAACTCAATCAAAATTCCAAATTTTATTTAATATTATTTAAATTAAAATATATGATTTATAAATATAAGATTTATATAATATATAAAAATTGAATCTTAAAAATGAATATTGAATTTAAAAATCAAATAATATGTTTTTCTATCAAATTTTTTGATGGGATATTATATAATTGATTATATAAATTTAAATTTTGTTTTTTTTTTGAAATAAAACTTTTATTATATAAAATTTTTATATTTGAGAATAATAATTCTTAATTTCAAAGTCAAATATCAATTTTTTGAATTTTAATTGAATTATCAAAACAGCTCTTTTTGGTGTGAAATTGTACTTTTCCTTTTAAGTGTCCCGTGAGTCTGTGCACCCACTGGTGTATGATGATCGTTGTTTAAGTAATATCTTAGTAATCAATCCTCTATAAGATCTTCTCTAAATGTTCAATAGCTTCATTATGATTGATTAAAAATCATGATCTAATTTGATCAGAACGTCAAAGCATTCACACATCGTATCATCTTCACGTATTGATAGAATTCCGGACCATGACCTTTTTGAGATCTAAGAAACCTTTCATACTACTCCAGGGCTGCTAATCCACTCTTATTCGGTATACAGAATCATAGACTCGTTTTGTAATCTGAGAAAGTAGACATCAATACTACTCTATCGCACACAATACAAGATCATCAAATGTCCACTTACGAGTGAGTATACACAGACAGAAACGCCCGAGTTTCCATCCATCTCCCTCCAAATGAATTCATAGATTAACAATCCCATCACCAATCCCAATTCAGAAACCAAAATCCAACCAACAATCACCAACTACCACCTAACACATCTAATAAGTTATAACACTCCCAAATACATATATCTATATCAAGCATTCTATCCGGCTATTCCGAACATTCCCGAAATCGATAGATCCAAAGTACAATCCCGAATTATACCTCCCTCATGAAACCCCCTCCCTCCTCATTCATTCTGATTATATGACTCTTCCCCTATTAGATACAGATATCTCACTCGCGCTATAGATTTACAATATCCATATCCATATCCATAACAATGACAATAACAATAACCCTAACAGAAACATCAATCCCCAATCCTCAGCTCCCATCGCGTGCGGGAAGGACAGAACAAAGTGGAGTCTTCATACATCATATCATACATGCCAATATCGTATCAATAATCACCCACAGACCCACTACCTACCGGTAGATGGAGAACAGACAGAACCCCTTTATGTAGATTTTATCCGGGAATTTTGGGATGAATGATTTATCTATCGATCTATCTATCTCTTGATCTTTTCGTCGAGAATACCAAGTATAAATCATATTTACCTCTTCAAAAACAAAGAAAATTACATTCTATTCAGATATAGATGTAGAATTATCAAAAAAAACCATATCCTCCTCCATCTCCATCGATCTCCCAATGAACATTCATCTACCCTATCCTCCCATACATCTCATCTCATCTTTACCGAGCTCAAACTTCATACTCGTATGTAAGCACGGCAAGGTTATTTTCCATTCCAGCAAGCGCTTCATCTTTTGCAAAATCACTCATGGAGTACGATGAGATGGATGAATTTTAGTAGAAATCAATGATAATCATTTTTCCTTTCCTTTCTGTTATTATTCATTTAACGTGGTTTATCAGCATGTGGCCCACTTTCACCTCAATTTACACCTTTCTCTTTTAACACACATTTTATCAATAAATTATTATAAATTCGAATAATCAAGAAGCCTATATACTCCTTACTATCAAAGTTATTCAAAAAAACAAAAAACAAAGTATTTAAAAAATCACTAATATATATAATATCCTATAATGTGATTTATCATCGAGTGGATCATATCATTAAGTGGGCCATCATTTTTATATACAAAATTCGTTTGTGTGTAACCGTGCATTTTCTTTATTTATTGATAGAATTTTTTAAAAATTAAAACTATAAAATTTAACTATATAAATATTACAAAAATCTCATTATTTATTAGAAATTCGAATTAATATAAGAATTGTTATTAGGAATATTTTTTTGTAACAAAAATCATAATAATTTTCACTTTTTTTAATATAAAATGAAAATATTTATATAAAAACTAGATTTTTAGAAAACTAATCTTTTATTATTATTTAATCTTTTTTTCTTTTTCTAAAATAATAATTAGTTATTAAAATATGAATATTCAAAAAGCCTTAATTTTGGTGTATTTTGAAGTGGCCCACTCGATGATATGGTCCACTCGATGATAAATCACGTTATATAATATTATAATATAGAATTGTCACGCTAAAAGTGACGCCACTAATAGCCTTAGGCTAATTGGGTTTATATAGGCTTAATTCTCCCGTGACAAGAATTAATAAATTTATTTTTTATATAAAATATCAATATAAATCTTATAATTTTTTAGAATTAGAAGAGAATATTATTATCAAATATATACTTGATATAAATTCATAAGATTTTTTATTCAAATCTAGAAATATAGAAAATATAATAAATTATATTCTCAAATAAAAAAATATAAAGAATATTAAAAAGCTTTAAATATATTAATTTATAAAATATTAAATTAAATTAAAAATGTATTTTAATTGTATTTATAACTTTCAAAAAGCTTTCTATAAAGATTCTAAATTTATTAAAAAGTAATTTCAATTAATTACGAATATATAAATGAAATATAATGTTTTAAATAATGATTTTTATAATTTCGATGAAATAGGCTTTATAATAGGAATTATATATAACGTAGTTTATTAGTGCATACACTATATCAGTATGTGCACCACGAATTTTATATACAAAATATATCTATACATAACCATGCATTTCCTTTATTTATTAATATAATTGGATTTTTTAAGGAAATTATTATATTTGTTTATATAAATAACATAAAAATCAAATTATTTTTTAAAAATTTGAATTAAAATAAGAGTTATTAAAGATAATTTTTTTGTAATGAAAATCATAACAATTTCAGCTTTTCTACAAATATAATAGAAATATTTATATAAAATTTAGATTTCTAAATATTTTATTTTTATTATTATTTAATATATTTTTTTTTGAAAAAAATAATGATTTGTTATTAAAATACAAATATTGAAAAAAGATTAATTTAGGTGTATTTTGAAGTGGTATATATACTGATATGGTGTACGCACTAATAAACTACATTATAATAATAGTTGTTATTAGTATTAAGAGATGTAATAGAAATAAATCAGTATAGTTAGGTAATTGAGAATGAATTATAATAATAATATATGGAAATAGAGAGGATAAAATTATTCCTTTATTTTTAATAATTTAAAAATAGATTTATCTTTTCAATTAATATATCGAAATTAATCTTTTTATAGATTAGATTATTAAATCTATATTTAATAAATAAATAAATAATAAAATAGATTTAGAATAATTGAAATATTTCAATAAATATATTAAGAATCAAAGAAAAAGTAAATATTGAATATTGATACTAATGAATATAAAAATTATAAATCAATAGTTTTTCAAATATATTATAAAAAGAATAATATTATATATTTATATTTATTATTATATTGAAATTATTTCATTCCAATTATTTAATATTATCTATTTTAATAATTTAAAATGTTTATATAATAATCAAATTAATGAATTTATTAAGATATATATCAATTATATTTCAAAGTTAAATTCTTTATAGTTTTTAAAACTATATACAAAAAATCAATTATCTTTTTAAAATATAAAATTAGGAATCCAAGAAATAGATTTAATATTATTTAATTCTAACATTATATTTTTGAAATTAAATATTCGAATTTGTATATTTATTTTTCTCTTTTTAATTTAAATCAATAAATCTTTTAATCTGTTATAATTCAATTAAAGCTCTTATTTAATTAATATTAATTAATCTTAAATAATTTATTATTAATTAAACTCCTTTATATTTATATTTAAAATTATATTAATTTTAGTTAAAAATATAAAAAAATTAGTTTATAAAAATATACTTTTGAATATAAAGATTCATATATTTCAAAAAATAAATAAATATTAAACAAATATTAATATATAAAAAAATCTAATTATATTAAAAAGGAATATTTATTGAGTAAAAAACTTTTAATATATTATTTTAATAAAAAATTGATATTTAGATTTAATATAATAAATATCAAAAAAAGGGAAATTCTAATAAGGAAATATTTTTTAATAAATATTATAATAAATATAGAAAAACAGAATATAATATAAGAACTTATTAAAATAATTTAATAGATTCTAGATTATTAGATTCTTAATAGTTTTAATCAATTGAGTCGATTATTATTGAATAATATGAGTTTGAAAGTATAAATTGAGGTGAAAGTGAGCTACATGCTGATATGAGCCACATGCTAATAAACTACGTTATTCTTTTTTTCTTCCTTTCTTTCTTTCTTTCTTTCTTTTAGTACATATTCTTTATAATGAGATGAGGAATTGTATTAGTGAGATATATATAATAAACTCCTCCCAATTTTTAATTTTTATTAAGAATAATTATATTATACTATAATTCATGATTTATATAATATTTCGTATAATGTTATTGATAAGATGAGATGAGATGAGATGAGAGAAGAGAATATGAATTTAAGATTTTTGAAGATTTTTTTTTTCTTACTTTCTTTCATTTCTTTTCTTTTTCTCATATTCCGCTAGAAGATATAAAAGGAGACAGGGAGGGGAGTAATTCGATGAGAAATATATCTTCTTATCTACTTTGTTACTTCTTCTCAAAATCTAATATTGATATAGTAGATAGTATTATCACATATTAAAGAATCCTAAATCCTAGAACTCTATATCCTACACTTTCATTTCCAAATCAAATATATAAATTCTCCTTCTTCTTATTCCCCTTTCTATTTACAAATATATCTATTTATTTCTAATAAGTGATATTATACTATACTATATCATTCTTTTGCTTTTACTTCTTACTATCTCAGACGAGCTTTTTCTTTTTCGCTTCCCTATATCTATTTATATCTATCTATATCTATCTATATCTATCTATATCTATCTAATTGAATTTGAATAAATAGATATCTAGTATCTATATATATATATAAGGATTGAGATAAGGATATAAACTCGAGAGAGAGGAAGAAGGTTTATATAAACGTAAGTACTAGGTATATTCTATATTATTGATTAAACTGAATAATAAATAATAATAAGATAATATCTTATAAAGTTCAATTTAATCTAATATAATCCAAGAATAAATTTCCCTCCCCAAACCCTCTTAAATCTTCTATCTCACTCTCCTCCTTCCTCCTTTCTTCTTTTCCTCACCTTCTAATTCCAGATCCCCAATCTAGAATTATAAAAATACAATTTAAAGAAATCCTTAATGCGTAGCCTCTCTCCTATCTACAGACTTATATTTATACTTATATTATTTTTCCTCAGAATAATTCCTTGTAATCCCCTCTCGCGTAAGCAACTTCAATTCAATTTATATGATTATCATATATTAATATCTATCTAAATACGTAAATACTCAGATACTTAAATACTTAAACATCTAAACAACTAAACACCTAAATACTCAAACATCTAAACACCTCCTCTCATCCCCTTACTCTTTCATTTCTTTGTTCTCTCGTCCCCCATCCCCCCTCCTCCCCTCACAACTCAACTAACTCAATCTAACCTATAAAATCCTCTTATTCTTTTATCCTCTCATCTCTACTCTCTACTCTCTATAAAAATCTCTACTCGCAATACTTTATATATATACATATCTATATAAAATTCTCCATGTTATTTATTAAACTTATATGATTTCACTTTCACTTCCTCTTCATTAAGAAACCATCTCGAATCGTCTAATCCTCTATTTACATTATAATCATTTCTTATCTCCTATTTCATTTCTTATCTCCTATCTCCCATCTTTCATCCCCTTAGCACCTTTAGTACCTCTAATATATCTAATATGTTCAGTAAACAAAGTAAAGAATACTATTCTATTCTAATCCCTCGGCTTTTGATCCCATTCTTGAGATTATGAGGAAATTTAAAATTTATTAAGATTACTCATCTTTTTTAGCACCTTTTTCCATAACCGATTCTATATGTAACGAATGTATACAAATGAAAATAACCTCATCCTTTATTTATAATCTAATCTCTATATAAATCTCCAACCCTATATCTCTCCCTCCCTCTTATCCCTCTCATCCCTCAAATCCCTCAAATCACTCAAATCACTCAAAATCATCCACCCTATCCACCCCATCTACGCTATAAAATTCCCCCCCTTCCACTCATTTCCCTTTCCCTTTCCCTTCTAATTCCTTTTCCTTCTACCATTCCCCTCTCTACATCATTCACCCCCTTCCCAATCACTCATCCATTATCCTTCTTATCTTCCATCTCCACCCCAATGAATTAACCTTCACCTTTTTCTCCTTTCCACCTATTCTTTAATTCTATTCAAAACCATATATTAACATTATACTAAATCCCATCAGATCACAATACTCTCCTTTCTCCATACCACCCACCCCCATCCCAAATCATCCATCTCATCTACTCACTCCCTCCTATCATCTTTTCTATCCACCTCTTCACCTCCCATCCCTCTCCCCACCTCTTCCCTCCTAGAATTCATATATTCATTTTCTCCCCTACCAATTCCCCCTTTGAAATTCCCCATCTAATCTCTATAACCCATTCTCCACTACATAGACATACCAAACTTACTACCTATCCATCTATCTTTCTAATTTTTCATCCCTTCCCTTCCCTATACCAATCTCCCCCTTTCTACCCCCCTCCTATCCCCTCTCTTTCTCTCTTCCTCCCACCTTCAACCCAAACCCAAACCCAAATCCAGACCTAGACCCAAACCTACTCCTTTTCCCTCTCCTCTCCTCTCCCTCTCTTCTCACCTTTCTTCTCCCCTCTCCTTCCCCCACCCATCCTTCCTTAACCCACCGCAACCCCAAATCCAAAGCCAAATCCAAGCCAGATTGCAGGAGTAACATCACGCAAACTCCTCAAACGCCTCAAACCGTCCGCAACTCCTCAAACGCCGTAGAGGTTCTCAAACCCACCCAGCTCAACAACACAACCACGCTCCCAAATCCGGGTACTCCCTGCAGTTTCTATCCCTTTCTCTGCCCTGTTCTTTATCACCAAACTGTCAAACCCCGTCCCTCCTTACCTCAAATCTTTATATCAAAAACTATTTTATTCTCAATTTAATATGGACATTTCCTCTTTGTTATCATTCTTAGTTCCTTATTCTTATCCATATCCCCCTTATTTCTCCTATTAATCTCTTCTCATTCCCTCATCCCCTCATCCCCATCTCCATCTCCATCCTCATCCCCTCATCCTATCCCCCCCTAAGCTTCCCCTCCCTCTCCCTCCCCTCTCTTCTCCCCTTCCCCCACCACCCCAAGAACCCCTCCACTTCTCCCCTCCACACAATACAAGTACAAACTCTAAGAAATCCGCATTTATTCATCTATCTACCTACCTACCTACCTACCAAATATTCTCATCTATCCCATCCACTCGTTGATTCACGCACTCATCCACCCACTCACGAGATTCCTAGAAACTGATCTAGTACCTCACCATTTACTCGCCCCAACCCCACCATGCAAAATTTCCCTCCAACGACCTCGATCTCGGGAATTTAAGAAAAATACCTAGGTAAGCTTACATACACATCAATACACCTCCCAGGTAGATATCACAATTCATACACCAAAAATTCACTCATCCTCAAAAGCACACAATAAATAAATAAAAATAAGTCAAAGGATTGAATTCCTAACTAGTATACAAATCTACCAGCTAGTCAATATCAGCTTCTAGACTCTGATCATGGATCTCCTAGAGAATATAAAAATCTCATAATAGCATAGCATGCCAGCTAGCTCAGTAAATATCACGTCATGTGTTGTAAAGCCATGATTGGCGAGAGAGGGAAGAATATCATGGTAACCACCTCATACCATATCCGAAGCCATGTTCCATCCATCCTACCATCCATATCCCAAGCAAAAAATCATCAATTCCCTAAATAGCAAGAAAGCAAAGCAAAAATCATCCATCATTACGCACGCCATCAATGCTCTATTCGAAAAACAAGTGTAGTCTACGAGTAGTGCAGAAAGGGAGGTGTAGTTAGAGGGAATTGTAGTGTGGGGAAACTACAATTCTTCTCCTTCTTTACCGGCCTTCTTACTCTTCTTCTTGGGTTGTGGTGCACCTTCCTTCTTGCAGTGAACGATGAGACGAGTCCATGATTCATCTTTATCCCATTCAAATCCTGCGAGGACTGGAGTTTCTAATTCATCATCGGCCTAGTGGTGAGGATATGTTAGTATATTGGTTTCAAGAAGATGGCAGATGAGGAACATGACATTTTGATTATAGAGCGGAAAGATGAGGGAGAAATGCAAAAGGATAACATACCTTCTTACGGAATTGTTTGTAAATAGCATCTACTGCATCCTTAATTGTAACACCCTTCATATTTCTCGCAGTGACTTCCAACCCCAGTGGGAAATGTAAATCAATCTTCTTGACTGGAGGTGTAGTCAGAGATTTCTTAAGGAAACCCTTTTCCGGATCATCAAGAGTCATTGGTGATTTATTTATACGCCTAGAGGATACAATATCATCAGCCATCATTCATAAAGAATCATGTAGATATGAAGTTGTGTGTGAAGCGGGGTAAGAGTACATACCAGTTCAGCTTTTGAGTTTCTTTCGCAATCTCTAGTTCTTTTCCCTCTTTCTCTGTTGATTTGTTAGTATTTCTTCATGATCAAGTAAGACTGCATTGCATGTAAAGCAGGACAGAATATATTCATCGGTCAAAGAAACACAAAACACGAGAAAACATTACATACCCAAGTCATTAATATTCCATACACCAGGAGCACTCGAACTTGTTCTCCGATGACCCATGGATTTCTTCTCATCAGTAGGACTACTCGATAATCCTTGAACTGCAGAATCAACCTTGGTTAAAGGTATTGGATCAGCATCTTTACCAGCATTTGCTGTATTGATGGGTTGAGTTGCTGTATCGGCAGACATGATTGAAAGGTAGGTTTGTTTGTTTTACTTGATGTAGTAAAAGGGTAGTTAATACGATATCTCACGATATGGATCGAGAGACAAAGACAATGTTGGGATGCTTGGGATCAAATAACTAAGAGAGTTACTTGGAAGTGGTGTAGCTTGGAAGAGAGACTTTCTTTGATAAATTGAAGATCAAGAAAGATGAAGTGATGTAGAGTGTAGATTGTGAATTGTTTGATGTGTTGGATTCGGGTACGAACAAGTTAATGTATAGATGTTTGAAAGATTTGAAAGTGTGAGTGAGTTTTGGTGATGAGTGAATAACAAAGGAGGGAGGAAGGAGGAGGTCATTAGATTTTCCAAATGAGGGGAAATAGACAAGAAGTTACACAGCAGACAGGTGATTGGTTGAGGTGATCCGAATCAAAAAGAGGTAATAATTATAATTATATTTACAACCATCAGGTATTAACCTGGTACCTTGGACATGATTAATTTCCATTTGTCAAGATTCATTCTATCACTCCAATCATACTTCAATTGTTCTTGAAATCACACTTCACTTCACACTTCACTTCACACCTCGAACCATACATACATCGTACCTGAAATCATACCTCACATCATACCACCTCATTTTTCAAACCACACTCCAAAATCAATCAATTAAACATATAGAACCTTTCCAGATCCTCAATCTGGAATCTTTAATCCTCAACTATCCTACAACCTCTCCCTTTCATTTCACATCATTCTCCATCCTATATCAAATATCAACATCTCATACCCATCCATTCCCCATGTAGTATCTTCCCCTGGAATCTCACACCCAAAGAAGCCTAGTCTCCCCAACCACTCCCTTGTCCGGTAAAGCGGCAAAGCGAAGTTCCGACCCTCTCTCCCCTCAAAACTGGGGAAGTGGGTCATACCCCAGGTTTCGCCCATGATATCTGCTGACTCTTATCACGTCATGTAAGTGTTGGAATATCAGTTCATTCTTTGATGCGTCGTCATCCCTTCCGAGTACTCATTGAAGATGTTGATTTAATACTATCGATTGAATGTCTTGAAGTGGAAATGGAAATTGAGATGATAAACGTAAATTGAAGATGGGTAACCTTGTACTTATTTTAATTGATCGACGATAAGATAATTCCGTTGTATCAACACCAAAACAAAAAACAGAACAAGAAATCAATTGACCAAATCCAAACCTATCCAAATCCCACCCAATCAACCACTCTATCCCTTCAATCAAAAGAGGGGTTATACAATCATTCGATTGGTTTCTTCCGTGAGGGGTAAAACAACACTAACAACGTACCGTACCTACCTACGTATCATTCTTCCCCTCTCACCACCCACCCCATCGAATCATGCAACCGCAGCAAATCCCCAACCACCACTCCCAAATGCAAATTCGGAATTAGATATCCAACCTCAGGATCTTTGTATTTAAACTTTCTCTCTATCCTAGCATCAACAAATAACATGCACGCTCGCGAGTACATTATTGAAAATAAGAAAATGATTATTCTCCATCGCGTTAGGGAAGCGACGCGATGAGTGCACGCTGGATTGCTAAGTGAGGCATTTTATGCATTTGTTCTGGTTTGTTTTTGGGGGCTATGGGGTAAGGTTGCGATCATGATGAAAGTTTAATGGGCAACTTGGCTTTGGGAGGATAGTTGAGAGGAGGGAGGATCTGGTAGATGCCGGTAGATAGATAGATAGCTATCTATGCTTCTGTCGATTTGCGGATCATATCATGCTGATGGGAATGCTTTGGTTGATAGATACCTAGGTAGGTAGGTAGTGGATCTGGGTAGGTAGATATCTACTACGTACGCCCATACATCCATACACATCTTCACAATCCTACGGGATATATCGCGTGATATATCGTACATTGTACCCCATATCCATCTGATTTCCTGTTTGCATACCTATACATAAGTCTGTGATAAAAGATACAATTTCAAATAATTCCCATTATCCACCTACTCCTCTTTATTCATCTCCCTCATACCCCCTACTCCTCTCTATCCACCCCCTCTTCCCTCTTCCCTCTTCCCTCTTCCCTCTTCCCTCTTCCCTCTTCCCTCTTCCCTCAAACCACCCCCAACCACCCCGGAAGCATCGGAAGTATCGAAACAAAACACTACTTACTTCACAGGGTCGATCTATCAATCTTTCTATCTATCTGCATACCATCCACCCATCAATCTATACTATACTACACTTGACTGAACTAAATCAACATAATCTAAAATGAATTGAAATACTAGATACCTAGATACATGCGATACAATATCTAAGGCTGTGAAATAATCGGTTCAGGTTCAATATTTTGTTATGATATGATACGATACGATACGATACGATACCCAGATTCCCGGTTCCATTTTTAGAACTCGACTGAACTGAGGTGATTATTTAAACTGAATGAAATGGGATCAGATCAGATCATTTTGATGATGGGTGTATTGATTGGCTGATCGATTGCATGATATGTATGATGTGGTATCGTATGGTATGATTTGGAATGGCATGATATGATGATACGACGATAAATAATAACATGATATTGGTATATTCATAATCTCGTGATAAAGCGTATATAAGAACGTCGTTTCGAAACTACCTCCCCCTCACGCTTAAGTATAATGCGGCAATGCCCCTTCATTAATTTCCTTCTTTGCGCCCTCACCACCAATACTCTTTCCAATATCAAGAACGCCCTCAATCTCTCCCGAAACTAAATGACTAATTCTCTTGACTCCTTCTGGAATCTTGAAATGAGCCGGTAGTGGAGTCCAACTTTCTTCATTATAATTTTCCTGTACCTTTCTACATTGTTTTAATCCCCACTCCGTAACCCCCACCATCAAGCAACTCTCAAACATAAACGCCATACTTCCCTCTCCAACCTTTGCCGGTTTTAGTGGAGCATTCGATGCTTTATCGTGAGTACCTGCATCAGGACCATGAGCTGACATGATATTATGTAGAGAAGCGCCTGCGGGCTGGAAACCTCCTCCTGTTTTTGCATCATATTCGCCGCCGATGAGACCCATGAACTCAGACATGGTGTTGCGATGATACCAGGGAGGTCGGAATGTGTCTTCACCTACGAGCCAGCGTGGAGGAAAGATGACGAAATCCGCAATGGCGGTACCAACATGATCGGAAGGAGCAGTGAGGACGGTGAAGATACTGGGATCGGGATGATCAAATGATATACTGCCGATGGTGTTGAAACGACCGAGATCGTATTTGTATGGGTAGTAGAGTCCATGCCAAGCTACAACATCGAATGGTGTGTGTGTTTGAGTAGCTTCAAAGAGGTGTCCATTGAACTTTGACAGGATCTTAAATTCACCATTGGTGTTTTGTTCAAAATTAGCTACTGGAGCTTGGAAGTCCCTCGCGTTGGCTAAACAATTCGAACCAATTGGTCCCAATTCTGGAAGTTGGAAATGTCCTGAATATAATTCCAATATATATCCTCGAACTGGTCCTTCTGGAAGTTCCACTCGATATCTGATTCCTCGAGGAATAACACAAATTTCATTTGGTCGAACGAGTAGGTTTCCGAGCTCGGTCTGAATGTCCAGAACTCCATGTTGTGCCACGATCAAGAAGTCTCCGTCGGCACTATAAAATGCTTGGTTCTTGTCCATACTCTTTCCGGCAGCGAAGATAAAGATTCCAATTCCATGTTTCAATGTTGGATCACCAGCTCCAGCGACCAGTTTCAAACTGTGTACCCAATCCACCGTCTCGTCTAGATCGAATGGATCCCATCTCAATTGATTTGGTATTTGATGTAATTTGTTTCCTTCTGGATTTGTGTTGTAGGAGGAGGTCTCGCGAGGAGTAAAAGGTTGATGCGACGCCGCTGGTAGAATTCGGTAGAGCCATGATTGTTGATTCTCATGTCGGGGTGCGGTAAATGCTGTGCCGGACAGCTTTTCGGCGTACAGACCATAAGGAGGCTTTTGAGGAGAGTTGGCTCCTATAGGAAGAGCACCTGCGACAGCTTCGGATCTGCGAAAGTATTAGGAAGAGTGATTGAAGGGGTTATGAACATAAGCTTACTCATGATATGAGCCGAAACCATTTTGATATTTATACTTCTCTGGTGTGTTAAACTTTGTGACAGGCATTTTGAAATGCCTATGATGGTATATATGAAATCAATTTAACGTTCACCTTGGTTTGGGATGTTTGAGAAGGTAAGAAAGATATGAAATATATTAAATTTGAAATTAAGTTTGCGAAATCCTTCTTGAAATATATTTATCAATCAAGCCATTCATGAATTGTTATACCGCTCATGACGAGGTTGTTTTCCCCGCGTACAGCCGATAGAATTCCAAAACATCGGGGTCACCAAATCATTCCATTCCGCATGCGGGGTGAATGTGAACTGCCAAGATTAGTCATCACATTTCATGATTTTTCTTCAAGCGGAATTCATTCCGTCATAATCATATACGAGAGTTGCAGAACAAAGTCAATTCAGACAATTCTAGACTGACTCAATCTTCACTCCATACAAACTTCATGTTTGATCATTATGCTTTCAATTCTTTCTTCACTCTCGATTCCATCCCCATATTTTCAGGCACGGAAGGGAACCCGCGCGGAATATAAACATCTGAGGCTGTACGATCGGGTCCCAGTTCTCCACAGATTCTCACTATGAACCAATCACAATCTATAATTCTCAAACTTGAAGATTCATTCACGATTTCCCGATTAACTGGGGAATATCTCACAGCTCGTACGGTCAAGCCTGGAAAATGAACTCATCTCTCGTAAGGACAAGTTTGAAAAATGGACTCACAGATGAGACATGGAATAGAATCCCATTGCTTGGACTTCGTTATATATCGACCGTTTCTTCCACAATCTTACCTCCATTCAAATTGACTTTCTTACTTCACTCTTCCTCCTCCTCCTCTCTCTCGTCAATATCATATATATCATCACAATGTCTCCTCAAACCATAGGCATTGCGATTATCGCCACGGTTTTCTTCATTGTTCGATACTTAAATCGTACAGATACTCCAAAGATTAAGAATTTGCCGGAAATTCCTGGATATCCTCTCTTTGGAAGTCTTCTAGAATTTGGTGTCTCTCATGCATTGGTAGCCAAAAGATTGGCTGAAAAGTATGGTGCTGTCTTCCAAGTCAGATTAGGAAATAGGGTAAGACATATCACCATCTCCGCAGAAATACCACACTAATTGTAAAAAAAGCGAATTGTATTCGTCAACACTTTCGATGCTGTCCGCCATTTCTGGGTTACCAACCAATCGGCTTTGATCTCTCGTCCTACTCTTCATACCTTCCACAGTGTCGTATCTACTTCTCAAGGTTTCACCATTGGTACTTCTCCTTGGGATGAATCTTGCAAACAACGAAGAAAGGCTGCAGCTACTGCTTTGAATCGTCCGGCCGTTCAATCTTATATGCCTATCATCGATCTTGAGTCTAAGGTTTCCATCAGAGAATTACTCAACGATAGTAAGAATGGTCAAGTTGATATCGATCCTATCTCATACTTTCAAAAATTTGCTCTTAACACCTCTTTGACATTGAACTATGGATCAAGACTTGACGAAGTCAAGGACAAAAATTTGCTTCAGGAAATTTGTGATGTGGAAAGAGCCGTTAGCAATTTCAGATCCACGAGCAATAACTGGCAGGATTATATTCCATTGCTGAGATTGTTACCAAAGTCTAACACTGAAGCTATTGAATATAGAGAAAGAAGAGACAAGTACTTGAATTTCTTATTGAACAAACTCAAAAAACAAATCGAGGAAGGAACAGATAATCCTTGTATCACCGGAAACATTATCAAGGACCCTGATGCGAAGTTGAATGAAAGTAAGTTTCCTGCAATCTCTCATTGATATGATATACTAATCCGCTGTAGACGAACTCAAATCCATATGTCTAACCATGGTTTCTGCTGGTCTTGATACAGTTCCTGGTAACTTGATCATGGGTATTGCATATCTCTCCTCTGAACACGGTCAAGAAATTCAACAACGAGCGTATGAAGAGATCATGAAGGTTTACCCTGATGGGGATGCATGGGAACGTTGTCTTGTTGAAGAAAAAGTTCCTTATGTTACTGCTTTCGTCCGCGAAGTTCTCCGATTCTTTACTGTTATTCCTATTTGTCTCCCAAGAACTAGTATTAAAGATATTGAATATAACGGGGCCACGGTTCCAGCTGGTACTACTTTCTATATGGTAAGCTCCCTTCTAACTTAAAAGAGTTCCAACTCATACTAACGACTATCCAGAACGCATGGGCCGCTGACTACGATTCCACGCACTTCAAGGCCCCCAATACTTTCTCCGTCGAACGCTACCTTGACAATCTTGAAGGAGGTGGAACACCTCACTATGCATATGGCGCCGGCTCTCGCATGTGTGCAGGTTCACATCTTGCGAATCGAGAACTCTTTACTGCTTTTATAAGATTGTTCACAGCCTTTCAAATTGTGGCTCCGAGAGATCCAAAGGATCGACCGATCCTAGATGCTTTGGAATGTAATGCGGTCAAAACTAGTTTGACAACAGATCCTTATCCATTCAAAGTGGGTTTCAAGGTTAGGGATCAAGGAAAGTTGGAGAGGTGGATGAGTGAGGCGGAGGAGAGGACGAAGGATCTTCATTAAGAAGAAAGTGGTGGCAATAATTTTGGGAAAGATGAGCCTAGTAGGGGCGATGCATAATTTATCGATTTACGATGGAGGAAATTATATCATGATTCATGACACGGAATGAAGCGTCATAGACATTTGCATGGCTTGGTATTCTGTATTGCGAACTGCATAGCGAGTTTTTGTTTTGTTCTTTTTTTGCTTTTTTTTGCACCCAGATTCAGAAATTCTAAAGAAGAGATTGAATAAAAATAAGAAAGATTTTATCTATCCAACATTTTTGCACGCGCTTGATATCACGTCTATGCTTGTGTTCATTGCATGGTACCAATTTTCTTTTCTTTTTTCCCTTTTTTTTTGTTCAGTTGGTATAAAATCAATTCTTGGAAATGTTTAGAAAATCGTGAAACAGAGAAGCTAATATCTAGGAGAAGTTTCATGCTTCGTAAAGATTATTGTGTAGTAGGGGACAATGTGATGATTCTGTGGGGCGTTTCCTGGGTATTACTCTTTCTTATTTTTTATATTCCGTGTGTGTCTTTTGTTTATTGTTTGGGAGACGAGGATTTGTGAAGTGTGAAGTGTGAAGTGTGAAGTGTGATGTATGGATATATTTATATGTATATATAGATAGATAAAGCTCGACTTTGTGCTTTTTTTATATGTTTCCTATTTCGAGAGTGAGAGTGAGAGGGAAGGGAACTGAAAGGGAACGGGAAGGTCTAGTTTAGTTAATCGTGTTGTGTTGTATTGCGATTTTGGTGTGGTGTAAGTTGTGCTCTGGATTTGAACTTTGAATTTTGAACTTTGAAGGTTGTGGGAAGGTCCAAAGGGAATGTGGAGGGAAGGTGTAGGGAAGAATTGGGGCGGAGAGGAGGAAGGGGGGAAATGGGGTTTGGGGTGTGAGAGGGAGATTTGGGAGTATGTTTGCGGATAGCAAGAAAGGGGTGAGGTGGGGGGTTTGCTGTCATATCTGTGATTTAGGATTTGGGATTTGGGGTTTGGAGTTTGTAATCTGTAGTTGACTCCAATTTTGAGCATCGGAGTAGACAGCAGTCAGTCTTGTGGGCAGATTTTTTGATTGATTACCGGAAAGGTTTTTGTTGTCGTTGTTGATGTTGATGTTGATATCGATGGTTTGGTTTGGTTTTAGTGATATACCGATGTTACCCACTATTAGATATGTGAATATCACCTCCCTCGTTTAGTCTACTAAATTTGTTAGATCATGATGAATAACCGTATAGCAATTCTTCGGAATCGTGTTACAATTCTCGTATACTTATTATTATTGCGTAAATGATGGGTACGTAGATAGGTAGCTGATATACATTCATAAGTTAATTATCGATTATGGAGTCAACTACGCAGAATATAGTTCCTGGAAATAAAAATCGGCAAGAAAAGGGGTTTCTATACGGGGTAATGATGGGGATGGCAAAAGAAATGGGAGTTGATTGTGATGCGAATAGGTTATTTGAGATGGGTTGATTTGTCAAGTGTGGTGGCGGAAGAATGGATGCATTTGGGATCCTGAATATCTACATAGGTATATATAGCATGTGGTTTCGTTGTTGGAAAGTATCATTCATGAGCGTCGCTATTCTGAGATAGAAATCGTCCTGAGCTATGGGTATATATTCGTATTTCAGGAATCGAGAATAACACGTATATATTGATGTATGTAAGATTACTTGCCTGTTTATAATTCTTTTATCTGATCGTCATTTTAATTTCAATAGTCACCATCACGTCGACTTTCACTTCGCTGACTACCGTTGTTAATGGAGAGGAAGATTGTCACCATTCTATATTTTCACCAAAGGATATTTAATATCCTCTGTATCTTGAATGATAATATTGATTGGTGATATTCAATTCTTCTTTTGAACCTGAAAATGGAGGAGTGTGAAAGAGGAAGCAAATCCTGAGAGGCTTGGTTGATGTCATGTATTCGGAATGGATCTTGGAAGCTGAGCTGTGGAGTGGCGTTTATATACACGGGTCCGAGGTGATTATTAGGTGATAGAATAGAATGGGGATGTTTGTAAATGAATTACTACTGACTTGGGTATTGGATACAAGCTGAGAATTTGTGAGTTAGTCACTCTTGACGCGAGGTGCGGGGAAGGAAGGAAATAGAGAGAGTTAAGAAGATGTAGCTGAATCACTTGCCGGTATATAATAGAGTGGACTTCGCATGGTTTTAGAGCTGCAATGGTTGTGAAGGGAAGGAATCAGAGGCCAGCAAATGGGGTGTTGAGATGAGAAATTGTAGTCACTAGAGCGGTGACTACTTCCTGCTTAGATTCTCGCATCGAGACTATAGAGTGTGAGATATGCGTATACTCCAAAATCATGTTGTCGTTCACATGAAGTTGCTGATAAAGATTTATGGAAAAATAGCACGACGATAGTCTTTGACAGTGACAGCGAATTTCCACTTTTAAAGTATTTGGTGTTCTCTCTTTCGAAAGT